TGCACAGACTGCGAGAAAAAATTCTCATCAATCAGTAAAGCTCGATCACACCGTGCAGATTATCATGGAGGCTATTGAATGGATAATTTCAGGGAGACCTCAAGAGACAATCGATGGAATACAAATGTTTCTCTTTTGACCTTTTCACATCTGCGGACTTTGTTGGTCTCACTAATAGCGCCACTAGTGTGCTGCGAATACTGTTTGCATCCCACCGTAGTTATAATTCAAGGGTTTTGGTAGGCAGCCGCTCCAAAACAAAAAAACCCCCTCACGTAGCCATTCGAGCGCCATTCATCCAGCGGCATTCAGAATGTCCTTCCAAGAGATACAAGAGCTGCGCCGGTGCCTCGAAGAAAAACACCGACTACGAAAAGAACAGCGGCGGCGTGAGCGAGCCGAACAGTCCCAGATCGCAGCTGAGGAACAACTGAAGCTCCAAGCCCAAGAAATGACACTCCCCGAATTTCTCGACTCATGCCATGTGGATTTGGTCTGAAAATCCAGAAAGACAGAAACTCGTCGACAAAGGGAGACTCCGCAAATGCCGACCGTAAATTCCGCCCGACAAAGAACGGTTCGTTCAGAGTTGGAGGTTATTTCCAACGGCAGAGTGTTGAGTCTCGCGTTCCAGAGTTTGCTACAGGTGATTCGTCGATCATAGCATCCCATGAATAGTCCCAATCGCTTGGACTGGGAAAAGTAATAGTCTAAATATTCAAGATGGCACGGACTATGCCTTCATTATGAAGTACGCGTGGCTTCACGTCTTCTGAAGCGAGGCCACAGATGGTAGATGGAGATTGAGCAGGACAGTCGGAACTTGTAATTCAACTAATCATAATCAACTTCCCTCCTGCTGAACATTGCGTGGCAAAGCGCTGAGGGCGGCTGAGGTCGGCCGAGGGACGGTTACACTGAAATGTCTTCCGAGACCACCAGGTTTCTGCCTGTCAAGCACCTACTTTAAGGTAGGCTTTTGAATCCCATAGCCACTACGGGGGTCATTTGTCAACCTGCCACTTGATCGGATTCTGTCTGGTCCTGATGCCAAGATGCACTATATCAGAGCGGTTACGGGACAAGACACTTTCTGTATGATTCTGTTGTCACACACCCATGGTACGAATATATACTGTTTGCTATGGTAATATACAATGTTATCCAACCAGCCAGCGTAGAGCGGCACTCGAACTGCGGTTTTCGGATCTAGAAATGCCTCCCATCCGGTGTCACACCGCCTTGTGCCCCCGAACCAGGGTGCAGTATCCGGCAGATCGCTAGAAGGAACCCACCACAAGGCGGTGACGCCATGAATATCCTTTATTAATGTCCATTCCAGTTCGGCCAACAATAACTTTACTACCACTAAATGTTCTTGCTGCACGGAGTGGAGTATCAATTTCATTTTCCCAAGTACATAACGGAATTTGTCAATTGAATGGTTTAATAGTTTGAGGCCGTCCGCTTAACAGTGTGGTTCTTTAAGCGTAGGCAATCGCAGGCTATACCTTTCTTTTCGCTTTCTTATACTTTCCGGAAATTCCTCGATTCCAGCTCTCCCACTCCCCCAATTCATCCCTAGCTGCTTGAAGCTGGATTTCTTTTTCCTGAATGCCTAGCCCTAGTTCATTTATCTTCAAATGAAGCTGATCAATCTGCTCCTCCAGAGACTGGGCACCGGCCCCATTCATGTCGAGTCGCCTGGCCAACTTGTGAGATAAATCAACCATGAAATCCCCACCCTCTGCCATAATTCGACCAATGCTCCCACTTTCAAACATGGTGTAATTCAATGCAACGTATTGAGATAACAGTTTCCGAGCAGGATTATCTTGCAAATCCGCGCCAGGGGTCGAATTGTAGACAACACGGATAGCATCTGCGAGATACGGAAACACTGCCTCTGTTTCTGCATCGACGATAAGAAGAACTTTTGTAAGGCGTTGCAGTGCAAAGTCTTCAAGTTCATGGATGCAGAAATGATGTGCAAAACAATATACTTTCGCATGGACCAGAATTTCAGCACCAAGGTGATCGTCAGTATTATGAAATGTTCGGCAGGTGCAAGCACCTGCGGCAGTCTGTCTATTATCTGCCGGCAGGCCAGCCTCGAGACACCGACTCAAGGGAGTTAGTGGCCTGTTAGATATTTCTTGATTACCCGGCATAGTGTTAGAGGAAAGGGGCTCTGTGTCAGTAAAGACTAACGGCTTAATCCCGGTAGTAGCTATGAACAACATTAATTGACTACCAAATGTAACTTGAGTTGACATCGACCTGCCTTTGCTGTCATCGCCGTTTTTGCAATCCTCGTCAAGATCTGCTTCTAACTGAGGGACGTAGTAATCTTGCGTGTAAAGGTAGCTCAAGACGCATTCGACTGTCTGCTCATCAAATTCGGACCAGTCAATTGGACCATTGGCTTCGTTCAGCTTCCATGGCCCGTCGACTCGCGCATTTAATGCTGACTTCTTGCACCACGACAAGGCTCCAGGGTGGACAAAATAAGAGCTCTTGGCACTCCCTGCAATCACCTGGATAGGTGGCTCACAGAAGGATCTTCGTCTATATTAGCTACGTTGTCATCACAGGGAGAGATGTTTACCTTGCATATAGATGAGTATTTGGACGCGACACCATTCTCGACAGAGGGCGAAACCGTGAGTTGTATGGGCAGAATTCAGAGGATTTACACAGGTCCAGGTTCTAATTCAGCCTTGCCTTATATCAGCAGTCAGATGTCCAGCCGTGACGTGGCTTTGTCACACGGGTGTTACCCCACTTTGAAAGAGAACAAGGTTGTGCATTTATGGTAGAAGCGTTTTTCACCGACAGCGTGAGGAGGGGTAAGGGAGTTGGGCGAGCTCTCCCCAGCGCTAATTCCCCCTTGAGCGCGAATTGGAACCTCACTCGCAGCCTCACCTTGGTGCCCAATCCGCTCGACTCTTCGATGAGCCCTAGTACCAATCAAATATTTGGTATATTTTCTCTTATGTCCCCTACAAATGCACTGCCGCAATTACCTAACTAATGGCAGATCCAAGTCGGCCGAAGTCATCAGAATTCACTCCCATGGGAGAGTTAACATCCAGATAGGAAGCTTGATGAGCAGATTTTATTGAGCGCAGGAGTCAACAATTGTCGATACTCTTTGAAGTGCTTGCTTCCAGTAAAACAGCAGGCTTCGAGGTATATTAGGCAAATAAGCCTCGAAATATTTCGGAAGCTTACTTTTAAGATCAAAGTAAATACGCAATGCGACAGCTCATCATATCCTGTTAAGTGAAGAGAGAATGTTGATCCTATAAGAAATAAAGTAGGAGCTTGACCGCCAGTTCTAGTTTGTTATAAGTCGAGCCGTATTAAGATATAACATCTAACAGGTATATAAGCCCAGGGTCTATATTTAGTAACTACAACAATTACAACATGATTTTAATTCCTAACCGATGTTAGATTAATTGGTATTCTGACGACACTAAATCCAGCGGAACAGCAGACCATTGAACTCAAACCGTTGCCTTGGACAGCAAGCCGCTACTTTACCAGCGCTGGCAAATACTAGAGATCGCAGTAAGGCGGCCAATTAGGGCGATAAGTTGGGAACCCTATCTAACGTCAGAGACTATGACCCATGGGCGTGTTGCGCCTTTTGCACGCACAGGCTTTGGCGTCCAAGGACCTTCAGAGACGGAACTGGTGGTAACGTGATGTCGCCAGCACATGGAGGCCCATAATCCGCCGGTGCTTTGTGCACAGCCGGTTGGGGTCGTTCCCGCTAATCTATCAATATAGAATCTCTTTTCAGGCAGTCGGGAACTCACAACGTCACAATCAGTTGGGGCAGAAATGTATGGATGGGATCTATAAGTGTATATCCGGCCATTTGGCATCTCCAGAGCGGTCTAGCTGCGGATCGCGTACAGCCGCCAGAAATCATTATGGCGACGGAGAAGGTTATTGCGCCGCTTGCGGATTTGTTCCTGCTTCACACGATTCTGTGAAGACACCATCTACGCATACCGCAGAATTATCGCACTGTAAAAACGAGTGCACGAGAGTCTGGGCTATATAAATTCATAGCATTGTGGTTATGTGGGGGTGGCTACCCGCCCGACAGTAATGGCTGTATAGTGTTTAGGTATCTCGAAGATTTAGATGCATGCGAATTAATTCGAAATCTTCACCGTGCAATCAGGGAAAGAAAGGAATCGAGTAGGCTCCCCCCAGTTTTGCCATTTCAGTAGAATATTGAGGCCGGATGGCTGGAGGTCATTTGTCCCAGACCAACTGATTGAATCGTCTGTCGGCTCTGGCACTAAGAAGGCTGTTACGCATGTCGTCCATGCTCGTATGACAGGTACCCGAGTGTAGGAGGCAACATATTACTCCCCCTCTCATTTTGCTGGGTTCAAATAGTGGACGCTAATACGATCACCAACAACTCCTTACCATAGAGCCATCGGTGTCGGTAACCTCCCCTATCTATAGTGTGCCATTACACTTATCAATTTGACTCACGCACTATCCAACATTTTATCAGATCCTAGACTGTTATCCTAGCTCAAGACATATGTCGCCCGGAACTCAGCATCCAGTTCCCTTTGCCGGTCAAACTCGGTATATAGAAATGCTTTTAGAGGTAGATTACATGCCTTGGACGTACAACGCTATAGCCAGCATAGCACATTGGACCTTGCTCGCCGGGTATCTCATAGCCCCTGGGACTTTCACGGCTCTATAGAAATCTGGTCAGGTCCAGGACGCTCTGGCGAAGGACCAAGTCGGACAGGCAGTTCTCAATACCATCCAAAACCCCCCACTTTTGGCGATTGCCTGTATTCTGTTTGTTGCGTCTACAGCAGCACTGGGGTGGCTCTACTGGGAGTGGCGTCACAATTACATCTGGCTCGCTAATCGGATCTTCATGTAAGCGGCCCTTCCCTTTCCCGCATTGCGTGAAGCGACGAGACTGACCCGAGCCCAGGCCCATCATCATGAACGCAGCTGCCGGGCTTGCCACCACTCTCATCAATATCTACACCGCGCGCGATGGCGATTGGTCTATCATGGCCTTGATCACCACTATTATAACCGGTTTCACACTGGTGACGTCCTTCTCGCTGGCTATGGTATTCAAGTTTATCAAACTCAAAGAAGTGCAAGAAGCCCATGTGCGTGAAGTGTATCACAGTGGCCCAGAGCGAAATGCCTGAATCATGGGGCTCAGTGTTTCCGCCAGCAAACGTACGCCCAATTCTGTCCATTTACATGCGGCGACTGACCTTCCTACGTTGAAACTGTCCTTTTTGTCCTGCCAGTGAGCCAACCTCTTTACGTATGTGGGCTTGGTGTTGCACAGTGAAAACAAGAAAATCGGCACATTGATGGCTAAATAGAATAGCTTGACTTTAAGGAATAGCTGACACTTCCTCCGAGGGCACAATCCATGGACATTGCAGTAACCTGCCCAGATGAACGCAAAAAAAAGGCTCCCAACAATGTCTGTCCACTGCGGATCACTCCCTGACAGCACGGTTGCTTGGCCGATAAATCGCCGAAGTTTGGCCATGGGCTTTGAGGTTCCTAAGTTGTATAAATAGTAGTATTTACAGAAGATGAGGATGAATAAGACCTTCATCGCCTAATTTCTTGCATATTCGATTCTTAGTCATTCTTTTGATCCACCCGTCCAGCCATACTTTTTGATCGTTGTTCGGTACAGATGCATCGGAACTCTACCCCCAGCAGTGCACTTCCCCAGATCACACTTACATCACCAGAAAAAGAAAGAAAGAAAAAAAAATAACAGCACAAGCGGCAATTTCATTGAAGAAATGCAGCATTCACGCGAACATTAGAAGTGCACCCGTTTGATAGGGATAGACACAATCTGTTGCAATCTCTTGATTGTGAGGAAAGAAAAATAACTTTGTCTTACCCTCATATGGATCCGAGCGCCTAACTCTTCCCCTTTCAATATGCGGCGGATTAGAAGCATAGATATGAGGAAGCCCGTCTGTCACCCAATTCCGACCTGGGCTTATATTCCACGGCAAGTAAAACCTCATGCCTGAGAAGCGGAGAATTACACCAGGCTCGTTATCATCTGGAGAGGTTGGTATCAAAGTCGACTCAAACTGATCGAACACCTTAACATCAACATGATCACCACGTATAGTAGTGCTGAATTGGCCATTCGCGACCGGGACTAAATCGGCAAACTCCGGGGGATACTGTTTGAATATTCGTTCTTCGCTTATAATCTTCATAAAATCAGAAAGCTCCCTGATTCTTTCCTTGCTGCGCCCCCGGAATATGCGCCGCAGTTTGGAAGCCTTCTGGGCATATTCTGCCAGTGGTTGCTCGTTGCATAGTACCCTGCTGGGTCCTGAATCCGTTAATTCAGCAACGTGGTGTCGGGCCCCAGAATTAGAATCTGGCATCTCTCACGCTTCCATGGCTCGAAAGTTCGCATTGTTCGGTCTATATCTCTGAGCGGATGAAGGAAATGCCTGATGTAATGAGGGCGAAGGCTTGACATGAAGAGCTGCGAGCATCGCACCCACATCTGATGCTGATAGGGCGGCCATCAAACGGCGGGATATTTCGTAGAATCCCTCATGGGAAGCAAATTGCCTGAGCTGTTCGCCTGGGGACGGCTTTTCGCTTGTGTGATTTGGGTGCTGAAGTGAAACTGATGACGACATTAGAAGTCTTCTTTTCTCATAGAGTATCATATCAGTTGCAAATTTCACACGAGCCGAAAGGATATCGAGTACTCACAGGCTCATGGTAGATTGTAGATCTTTGAATACAAAGTAATACCTGACGGAATATGCCGAGCTCGAAAGCAGAATGCCATTCCAGGCCAATGGGCAAGGTCGCTTTTATAATGTATCGCCAGCAAAGAATAGCCGACCTTCATTATCAGCCGTAAAAGAACTTGACGGTCACTAGTAATGTAGCTTTGACTCAGAACGGCCAGTCTTCTTCTAGGATCATCTAAATTACTGCGAGCCCTAGCTTGAGCCTATTCTTGAGAACCTGAAATTGGGTACTCCGCGGGCATAGAGGGGATCATCATGGCCAGTAAAGCGACCGGGAAATTCACAATGGGGACTGTAGCACTAGGATACACCAGGCAGGCCGAATGTAACAGGACTCTTCCACACCGTGCTGCCCGATTCTGTCCATCATCTACGGGCCGGGCCAGAGAAGGTCGATGGCTGTGAAACCTATCTCGTAAGGGCGGGGGCGGGGAGCCCAAATACCCACAAGCAGCCGAGGTGAACTCATTGACGCAATCCGCGCGCATGCCCTGTTTATGCAGCCGAAACCTGGACCGCTGAAAGATCCAAGGAGATAAGAGACGAATAGAATCGGATACAAAAAGTCAAATATTTATTACTGGATGCTATTTCTCTCGTAGGTGTTTGCCTCGCGTTGGGCCTATGTGGTCCAAAAGGATAATTAGGCCGTGGATCACACTCTAGATCAATACAGCCTTCCTGTAGCCTTATCATCGGATGGCTTAGATTTCATCCTTCCCCGCGGCAATTGAGGCTGTTAGTCTATCCGTAGTAGTCAGGCCGTCTCCTGGATCTACCGGACCGGCGGAGACCTTGCGCCCGAGCCCCTTCCGCTGAAGTGATCTCCCCTGGGCTAGTGACGGAGTCATCAACACCGTTAATTCCATCCTCTGGTTCCCTTGTCGTCACAGCGAAGGAATAAAAAGCATCAAACCGGCGAACCCCGCGGCTGTGAATGTGTCAGCAAGGCAATATTTTCACGAAAGGGCAACAGGAAGAGGAACCTACCATATTGGGCAGTTGAAGTTGATCTGAGTTGAGCGTTTTTCGAGCCAGTCTCCCATGCATCCTAAGTGCACGCTATTCTCACAGTGCTCGCATTTCAAATTAGCGATCTCGTCTGCAGACTCCTGCCAGCAGATATTGCACATTATCCTGCCGCTGTCATCCTTCGGCTCCAGTGAACGGAGGATCACTGGCGTGCGGGTGTTGTCGGCATTTACGGTCCCAAACTTGATCCGCCGTTGGGAAGACGACATCACCTCGAATTGGCCTGGCCTTTGCCTCAGCTGCTCAATATGGATGGACTGAGGCTCAGCCGAGGGAGGGTCAACCTCCATAGGAGTCAATGGCGTCGAAGTCAGATCCGAAGTCTGACCCGAAGTCAGATCCCTTGGGTTTGGTGACGAGAGAATTTGCCGGACTCTCGTGCGTACAGCGACCGGATATTGAAGCTCGACGCCTGAATCGCGAGCACTGTCGCACCAGTGCTCAACTAGCGGCTTCACTTGTTCGTCCTCCTGGCTTTGGTGGTATCTTTTGCATAGTAGGAGCCAGGCAATCTTGCTCAGTGTCTGGACGAGGTTGTCATCCGGAGGCCGCTGCACCAAAAGCTGCAGGAGATGAGCAGCTTTGGAGCGAGAATCCCTTGAGATGCGGTTTTTGCATCTCGTCCCGGTCCGAGTCTTCCCACAGCAGGTGGTCGTGTTCTCTGGGTTGCTGATCGTACACACCCGGATCGGATCCCACACTCCATCCATTGTGACTGCGCTCCAGGGGACACACGAGGGGTTGATAAGAGAGTAAGGCGGGGGATCTGTCCTGCGGCATAGGTTAGTATGTTAATGAAAGCGTCCGGCCACCTTCATTGTGAGACGGGAAAAGGTGCGAACATACGCTATGAGTGAATGGTGATCTCGGTCGTCGCTTTTGCACGCGGTCAATGTCGAGCCTGTTCATGTTGTGATACGAAAGAATGGTGAACTTATATAACCTGAGCAAGCAACAGCGACGAATAATCGGGATGTGTCACCGGCTCTCCGGAAACCGATAAATAGATCGCAGGAGCGAGCATGTTCCTGGGAGCCATATATCGGCTCAGTGGAATGTTGCAACTGCTCTCGGGGGTATAGATTGAGTATCTTGGGGTACAATGAGTTCCTGCGAGAGAGAAGTGCCTTCTTGCGTTTGCCCAGCCCATGGTGATTTCTTTGGCGCCTATAATGGCCGATTCCCATGCAAATTGGTCCAACATAAAATGGCACTCCAGTACGCTACGCCATGCTCTAAATAACCATCGCTTCTGTGGCTGTATATTCGAGCTTTTCATCATGCCCTCTGTGCAGCAATTTCTTAACCCGATTGAACCTTTACACTATGAACGATATATCGCTTCCTCACCTGATGGTGTATGTCCGGGACAGATCGATTCTATCAAGCGGGACTTTGCGGAAAGAGAGCCGTCCTTGGCGAATCAAGCATCAAACCCGAAAAGCCGGGCGATAGGCTTCAAGAACGCAGCCAAGCTGATGATATGCAGCCATTATAAGAATACCTTACGAGAGGCTCGAAAGATTGCGCGTCGGTGGGAAAGGGAAGCAGCACAGAATTCCCACCGTGCATCCGTCGCCACCTAGCAGATCTCATCATACAATCAGTCTTCTCAGGGGACAATATCCATCGGCCTTATGACTAAGAGCTGTACGCGCCACTCAGCGGTCATCTAAACTCCAACGGCGCTGTTACCCCACCACATCTAATTCGACGTCCACTTGCATGACCGGTTCGCCTCGATTAGCCCTTCTTACTTCTTCCACCGAACATCAGCGCTTCATCAAACAACAGGCTGCCACATCTATACGTCGTCATTGTTTAATGGCCACCTTTGAATTAAGCCAGATGTGCCGGGGCCTAGGCATAGGATCACCGAAAGGCCATTGCGATCGATCGAACACCTGCAACATAGCCTGACATTTCTGGTGCTTCTTTCCACGACGTTCATAGCCAAGCTACATTATTACAATCTCATGGGCGCAGTTCAAGTTTGAAGAGTCTTGCGAAGCGTTTGGGATGGACGTACAGCGGCATTCCTCTATCAGGATACCGCGCTATCTGGCCAGTTAGATAGTCTAATGAGGTGGCAAACCAAGCAGAGAGCTTTTTTGTTATTGCGATATACTGTAAATAGCTTTACGTAGCAGGTGGGGGTAAACTGGGCGCGGATAAATTTGTTACTATTTCCTTGTTATGCATGCACTGGCTGAAAGGGCGATCATGTTTCGCAACCGCTTTTACCCGATCTACGTAAGACAAAGTTCTGAGTACACTGTATACAGCCCCTGGATTTTGATTTTATGCCAGATAGAGAACCTTGTTCGAGATACAAAAGAGCCGAGCGTTCGTGGCTTTTTCCAACCCCTCATTGGGAGAGTAAATTCATCACGTATGGTACGATGGGGTAGCAATATAGTAAACAGAACACATTCACAAAAAGACTTATATCCTTCCATCTTCCGCCCACGGCCTTCTCTCCACCGTGCGAATGTGTACCGCCGCACGAGTGTAATTTCCGACTAAGCCGCAGTACTAGCGATATCTGAAATCAGATCAGACATACCAAGCAGCATGTTTTAATTTGTTTGGCAGGCTAGTTGGGCGATGGAGCATGTGAGCGCCGTCGGCGTCCATATTCCATGTCCGCGTCCCTCCCCGTTTGGTATGCTAAGGATTGTGGCTCAAGTTGCTCCCTGTTCTTCGGGAGTGCCGGTCGGGGTAAGCAGCTCTCTTCTAGAGCGACCTGGAGCCGTAAGGATAGCCATCGTGTACGACAGAAACACCTCGGCCAATTCATGCTTTAAGGGTAAATTTTGGCAGCCAGGTCGATTCGGTAGCGGTATAGTAGGAGTAGCAGCAGGAGTGTGTGAATGAGAATCGGAGTCAGAGTTGACCATTAACTGTCGCCCAGCTATATAACTTAGGCGACGTCGGTAATCGTTATCATATAGAATCAAGGGCGGGATGCTCATTTGTAGACAGAATCCTATAAAGGAAAGTGGTCAATTTTATGCGTCAGGCTCCTGGCTCTTACCCTGCCGGCTGGAGGCTTTAACTAGGCAACACGCCATTCTCCCGCCTAGAAATCCCACATCAGCAGTATTGCGCATTGCTGCGCTCCCCATTTTCACCCCTTCTAACTAGCCTTTCGCGGCCCTCAAGTTTACCTTCGATCGTTTTCATTACTCGATCAACACATCTTCAGGAATCACCAAGCGCCTTAGGTGACGGGTGAGTGCCAACGGGCCTCTTGATGTTGTAGTGTGATTAGACGAACATGAATCTGAGGCCCCTCCTACCTGCAGCAGAAGATGCTCTTGATTTCCTTTATAAAATTGGTAGCTTTCTCCCGATGCCAGCACCCCTTCTACGGTTCGCTCTCCCAGCCAGAGGATAATCTGAGAATCCCTTAGCGGCATCAACCTCCGAGTAGCGAGGCACTCTCAACCCATGGCGGACTAACGACGCGATTGTTAGAAGCATTTATAACTTCTAGGACGACTATACAATGAACAGCGGGTTGGGCAGGGCATGTTGCCTCTTGGCACAAGGCCCAGGAAAGGCCGTGTTTCTAGTACATATCTCTGCCTAACATGCGGAGGGACATTTCTATCTTCCAGACCATCTAAGCTTTGCTGCAAAGTTCAGCCAATGACTGGCCTACATTATGTGAAATTGCATATATTAATTGCGAAAAGCAAATATCAAGTATATTGTAATACATCATCTAACTTCTCCTTCATCCTTGAGCTATTGGCCCTAACCAACTATGGTCATATTGTAAGATGATTGCTGAGAACCTCGCAAAGGATCCGACCCTTGCCTGTGACTCTCTGTCACCCTACGACCATTAGTACCAAGAGTTTCCAAAGTTCGACATGGAGTCTCCGGGGGAGGAATAAGAGGCCCCTAACCTTTTATTCCATGATATAATATGAAATCCCGCTGATAACGGTAGTCAAGGCACCTGGCGTGCAAGCAACTTATTTCTTGCTTCAATTGGTCAACCGTGTCGACTAATTCGATCCGCTCTTGATTCAACTTCTCAATCTTTCCAGCTGATTCCATCAAGGCTCGCTCTCTTTCTGCATTAAACTTCCTGTTGTTCCGACATCTCTGCGATGCAGCTCTGTTTGCTTTCCGCTTTGCAGTCGAACTTGATGGGATGAACTGGCAAGGTATTGAGGGTTCAGACATTTGTAACCTATAAACAGTCTCTTTCAGTATGTTTCGTTATTAGCCGAAATTCAATCCTTACGGTGTCAAATTGGCCAAAGTGTGTTGAGTTAAATCATAGAGCTGTAGGCACCATCGAGCTGCTGAATCCGTGGAAATAGTATGAAGTGAGCCTTTCGCCGTTTATACATATAACTACCTGAGTCTGCGGGGGTGTGTTCCTTCTTTACATTCCACCGTCAGCGGAGCAGAGACGATGGAGCGCTATACTACATTGTGTCGACTCAGCGAAGGCGCCCCGGTTAGTAATCAGGGAGTTCCTGGACATTAAAGGTATGTTCTTAGGATATTAGGATGAGTTCCGGAAATAAAGGGTTTTCACAGGAACTACAAGTCTGCTATTGGGTAAGCGAGATATGCTGACACTCGCAGACCGAAATCTTTGCGTTTTTCTCTCCAGCCATGACAGGATTCTTTCAACGAAACTACTCCTAGAACCAATCCTTTGGCGAATCTAGTAATAATTGAATATCCCAGCAAGTGCGCGAGAAAATAGTCTTCCTCAAGGATAGCGGTCCTCTTAGACTCTTTACGGCGTTGGCAGTTTCGGGAAATATACTCCTTAGGCGGCTATCTTAGGGGGGCAGAGGAGCTCAATCAGCCTGACCGTTGTCGTGAGACTACAGATAATAGGAACTCGTTTGCTCTGCCCAACGCTAATAAATTGGCAATGACGCACTGGTCTCGTGGATCGTTTTGTAAAATTGTCACAGAAGCATATAGAAACGGGCATTACGCTACGACACAGATAGAGTTTCGAATTAGAATTACGACGTAAATATTATACTGTATGAGATTCCGCTTGAAATTTGGGAGTAAAAAAGTTATCTTTATTATATTGGCCTCCTGATCTACTGGGTTATCTTCGGGCTCCACAGTATCAGAATTTCAGGCAAGCGGGAGTCAATAGTTACGGCTTAATGCAATCATGTCCTTGTGATTCGCCTATCAGAAGTCTACTGCACAGCCTGCCGTCTTCCACTTCACAGACATCCAACCTGCGTCTCGGGAGGAAAGCTCGGTGATTGCGCCCGGCTTGTATCTGCGCTAGATGCATAGCAAGCTCGCGACCAAACCGAACCTGAAGTCTCATATCACGTCAAAAATTGTAGAGTAGAATTTTCGGATAGTAGAGTTAGGACTAATCCGGGTCGAGCATTGTCCGTGATAGGTAAGAATGGCTGATCCTGGGGGATGAAGAAAGACAGTTTAGTAAATAATTGTTGTCTAATGTCAAAGTTCTGTCTCGATGTAGGACGGGAATCTAGATGAAGCCACATGCTTGATCGTCGTCACTCATGGTTTTTCGTGCTGGTGATTTGGCTCTCGGGGAAGCCTAAAGATAGTCCATTTACATTGATGAGGGGACTTCGTAAAGGCGCTAGGTTGAATATAAAGATCAAGGATTAATGAAATATCGAGCACGTTGGGAGGAGGAACTCAAGATAAGCCAGGTAAGCAGGATGATATG